GAGAGAGAGAGAGAGAGAGAGAGAGAGAGAGAGAGAGAGAGAGAGAGAGAAAAGACCGAATCTGAAGAATCCATCCATACGGCAAATCAATGCATTCCTTACTATAATATTTCTGACGAGCCTAAATCTATCATGAGGCGCTAAATTTCGTGGATTAAAAGCTTGATAACCAACGGGTTAACCCGACCCTTATTAAAACTGATAGTCAGGCTCAAAGGTTCCTCCGGAGTGTGGCCCCTTTGGCACCCACACGCATGCGGGACCCAGGCCACCTTTTCCCTCGTGAAAGTTTGACACATGTTTTTGGGACCACATCGTGTACGGCATGCGTAGAAATGCCGTTTAATTGTGTCAGTCGCTGCACCTGAGCCTGTTCTCTGTCATCTTGACTTTTTCTTGCCGATAGAGTCAGACGAGCGAGGTCGGAGAGAGTGTGGTGGTTGCTGTGCAAGTCACCGCTGCTCGTGAACTACTTTATACTGATATTGAACTTGCACATCATCTGCCGTTATCTCTCCCTTTCTCTCCTGCATCACCCACCTGGACCCCAGGGCACGACTGAGTCGGGACGACCGGGAGGGGGGGATCGGGGATAGCGGCCTACTACGTCAAACAGCCTGTCTACGCGCTCCACACACACACGCCTGATCCGGGCACAGTGGATCAAGCACACACACACGGATGACGCAAGCGTGCTCCCTTTAACCACGATACGTGACAGTTATCTCCATACCGGTACTCAGGACAGTCCAGGGAGGCGGAACCGTTTTGGTTTCTTTGTTGGGCAGAGAGAGAGAGGACGTAACAAATGGGTAACGCTGGTAGGCTCCCGCGTATCGGGTCTTTGTCAGCAGGTCAGGCGCAGTTCTTAGTGCGCCCACAGCCAGCTGTCAATTTCTGCGTTAGTAGCTGGTCGTTGCCGGGTCCACCATTCCGTGGCGCAGCGGCGGCCCACTATTTGGCTGATCCGCGAATGTAACGGTGTTCTCTCTATATATAACTCGCAGATACACGCACATACACACTTGGTCCTGTCCTCTCGTGTCCGGTTGTTATAGCATTTGTAGTCATGGCAACCCTGACTTCCACTGGGCGTGCCGAAAGGCGCGACGACCACATAAACTAGGACAAGGCAATAAGGTGCGATGAAATTTCCGTTAGCACCAGCAAGATATACATATGTATATCGCGTTCATCATCTCCCAGCTTGGAACTGCAGCATTTGTGAAAGGCAGAACTTGACGTCGAGCACCTCGAACAACGTCAGTGAACGCTTAAGATGATCAAATCCTGTTGAATAACTCAACAGTTTCCATCCCATCAGTGAGTTCTACTATTAGTAGTATAACTTCATATGGGAGTGGTTTATACCGTGCTCCCAACACAGCTAATAGCAAAAAAACCCAGACAAGCGCTTCGTCGATATTTTGGCGGCTGCGTGATGCAACTGTGGGGTTCGGCTTCGCAGTGGTTCGCCTAGCGTTAAGTATGATATTTTCTGCTTAATGAACTTCAGATAAATATTATGCTAATGAATTCATAAATTATTGAGGTCAGAGTTTGTGGTTAAGTGCCCGGAACATGGTTTTTATGAAGCATGGTATAAACCATTGTCATATAAAATTGTAAGTAGTGGATTTTCAGAACTATTCCACAGGATCTGATTGTCTTTAACTCAAATACTAATTTACATTTTGGAGTTTACCATAAAAAGTCATGTTCCGGGCACTTAAATCAAGTCCCATTATTAATAATTACTGAAATTATTAGTTTGATATTCTTCTGAAGTTCATGGACCAGAATGCTGTGGGTGACCAACTGAGGAGCCGGACTCCTCGTAGAATAGTCACCGGCATTTTCCTAGTACCTTTGTTGGGAGAAGGGCATAAAACGCTGTCGTCGCTCTGCCCTGGGTCGACCACTCCAGAAGAAGGTGTAGCCGGCACCCACCTCCTCCAGTTGGCCTTGTTCGGAGAATCGGGTCTCGCTGAGTGCGGCGATGTCCACCTTGTAGCGCGCCAGTTCTCGTGCCACTAGCGCCGTCCTCCGTTCCGGTCGGTTGCTCCTCGGATTGTCTAAAAGGGAGCGAACATTCCAGGCTGCCAGAGTGAGCGGGCTCACCCTGTCAGTCTGGGGAAAACGAGTGGGGCTACGGGAAGGAGGTGGAGAAGATGATGACGAAGGAGGAGAATAGGCAGAAGAATAGACGGAGATAGAGGTAGAAGAGGTAGGATGTGGAGAAGGAGTATGGTTGTTGTAGTTGGTATTGTTGTTGTTTCGATTTTGAGTGTTTCGACCGTGTTGATGGCATCTGCGGCCTTGGCTGGCCTGCAGACGGCGTGGTGCCCAGAATTTTTTAGACCACCTTTTCTAGGCCCTTCCCCTCGAGGGGGCAGGCAGTGCCGTCCCTGAATCGGGCTGCCCATGTGCCTGGTTGGCGCGACCGAATCCCACTATGGGGCCACGACTTTTATGTTCGTAGTGGAGAACGACCGCATGTGCCGTGAGTCCGCGGTCTCCGTCGGCGGGGGTGGGCGCGTCTCAGCGAAGGCGATGCACAGACCCGTCCCGGCAGCAGTTATCCAACGGCGTACCAGGCAGAGCCTCGTCTCGACGATGCCGGCGCAGTGTTTCATCCGACCATCCATCCGGCGGAGTCCGCGGTACGCTGTGCACTCGGCACAAGTGCACAGCGCCCTCACCTGGTTTAGCCCGCCGGTCGAGGCGGTTGCCCGGGGTGTGGCCGCTGAGCAGAGCCCAGCTACGTGGAGCCACAGGTGAGAGTTGGGTGCCAGCAAATGGACGCTAGGTGTAGTCTCACCTGCAAGCAAGTGAGCGACCACTACGACCTTCACGTGAACCCACCGCTGGACACCCCTACACCCCAAACACACACACACACACACACACACACACACACACACACGACAGTTCGTCCGTCGATTTCGACGATGACCACCGTGTGCCCCACAGCTGCAGCAGCGGTGGGAGCAGGGACGGTGACTTGCGCAGGGGTTTATAGTGCGGGTGGACTTGCGCTGCATCTACCTACACTTTCTCCTCCTCCCCCGCCTGGGCCCGGTGTCAAGACAGAGTCAAGAAGACCGGAGACGGGGGAGGCCGCAGGTGGATGGCTCGGACGGATCCTCACCTTGGCGTTCCACCACACCCCCTGGTCCACACAACAATAACCAGGAT